AAGCTATCTTTAAAATATTTGGTTCTATATATTTTAAACTAAATATAATTGAAATATTTTCAAAACCTTGTGTATTAAATATTACAAATTATTTTTTCATCAAAGATTTACAAAATATTTAGGGACCAAATATTTTAAGCAAATATGTAATTGGAATATTTTCAAAACACTGTATATCAAATTTTATAAAATATATTTTCATCAAAGATCTTCAAAATATTTGGAGACCAAATAATTAACTTTAAATATATTATAGTACTATATATTATACAAATACAAACATTTAAGAATCTTTTACTAAATTTTCAAATCTTAGATATAAAAAGGAAATTACTCTCAAATTAAAAAAACCAGATGGTGATATGAGTACTAGAAATTAACAGTGTCTCATTTGATAGATTTGGACAAAAACTTTGATTGATTGTGTTTGGCAGTAGTTTTAATCTTGTATTTTAATTGTAAGTCATAGCATAATGTACCTAATTATTTTATGAAAATTAATATTATGTTTATTGCATCATTAAATTAAAACCTTTTCTTATTTTAATTTCAATTAATAATCTTGAAAATGTTTGATTTTATTAATATTAAAATCAATTTTAATGAATGTTAACGGCAAACAAATTATAAATCATATAAATAGTATAAATATTGTAAAAACAGTGCTTGTTGATAAAATTAAACTAATATATGATATACTAACAGATATAGATAATAATATTCATGKTCATAAATATTTTGAAAAAATATGGTAAATTAAACTGGAGGGAACTTAATTGACAATATCTTATTGGTGATTCAATTTTTAATAAACTTCTTGAAATTATTAATTACTTACATAAASTCATTAAAAATGTATTGTAGTTTTGAAGATTTTAATATTTCAAACAAAATTAAAAAAAAAAAATTGCTTTCCAGCTGTAACTATATGTCTTATATTTAATTAAGCCATATCCTTGGGAGAATATCCTATGACCTACACTATAAATAAATCAATATTAATTCCTCTATTTAAAGGAGGTGATAAAAAAGATTGCAATGATTATCAACCAATTTCTTTAATACTATCAATGTCTAAACTTTTTTAAAAATGCAAAAGGATAGAATCTTACAATTTTTAAATACTTTACATTTTTTTTCTGAAATCATTTTGATTTTATAAAAAATAAATCAATAACTGATGCTTTAGTGGCTGTTACAGATTATAAATACAAGAATTTAGATTGTAACAAAAAATGTATTGGTATATTTCTTGATATAAAAAATGCTTTTAATTCAGTTAACTATTCATTCAATTTTACCAAAAAAAATTAGAATATTGTGATATAAGAAGATCAGCTTTTTGTCTTTTTAGATCTTGCTAAGATTCAAAGTTACAAGACTAGATATTATTCATACCTTAACAGCTAGAGTGAATTTTGGTGTACTACAATGAACTGTCCTCGGGCCATTATTATAGATAATTTACACAAATACTTATTAAATATGGATATTAATGTCACAATATTTTGCTAAATAATGTGTGAAGTATGAAATTTTTTAATTATTATTAAATAAAAATATTTCACAAAAACATTTAAGAGATAATTTTTTTTTTTTTTATAAATATTAATGATGGTTATTTATCAATTATTTATTATATAGTCAATGATCTCTCGGTTTAATCATTGATTCATTGATTTTAATATAATAATTGCCATTAATTGATGTATTATTACATTAAATCTCGCTTATAACAAGACTTGTTTTTTTTCATATAAAATGGCTTATGGTTGAAGTTAATACAAAGATGGTACTATTTATGACAATATTATACATAAAAATAAATTAACGAAAATTTATATGTATATAATATATATTTATTAAAATAATGAAATATTTCACAATTTTAAACTTCATGATAAATTATTTAAATATTGTTAAAATAATTTAGATTTTTGTAATTTTATCAATTATATTTATTTAATGTATATAATATTATACTATTAAAATTAAGGTTAAACTAAATATTCATACTTTAATCATAATGAACTATAATAGAATTAATAAAATATTTATGCTCTTATAAAAGCATAATCAATTAAACATAGTATATAATATAGGCGATAAAAGTAAATTAATATTATGAAAAAACTTAAGTAAATTTGTCATAATAATAGGCGTGCGCAAAAAAGGGTTCCTGGTGCTCTAAAATTTAAGTCCTATAGCAAAGGTTCCCAAACTTGTTATAGTATGACCTATTTTGGAAATTATTTAAATTTTGGCGGCTCGCAATAATATCAATGATCTTTTTTTTTAAAAAAAGTATGCTAATCATGAATTAATTTTCTTATTTTATACACAAGTATTGTCTCTCTTTCTTCAGTTTCCACGGAACTTAATCATTGACTTTTTGTTTAACCATTTGTCCATAATAATTGCACAAGAGCACAAAAACAAAAAAATGAATTTATTTGCTATTTGAAAAAAAAGGAGATTTAAACTGCTTAAAAGRTGTATTATTTAAATATTTATCTCGACCCACTAAAAAAAAATTGCGACCCACAGTTTGAGAACCTCTATCCTATAGCATATATTATATGAGCCCTTATTTAAACTTATGTTACTAGAGTAAAAATATAATTTTTTTCTAAACTAAGTGATAATAATAATAAAACACAAAATATTCTAAATTTGCAAGGGAAACATCATATGATAATTATATCAGTTAGATGTTATCAACTACAAAAATAAAATAATAAATATTATCTAAAAAATAGATATTAGACTCAACTATCCGAGGAAATATGTAACTTGATACTAGTTATTATATACTATTTGATTTGATTAATATATGATATATTTCCGTGATACAATAGGATGCTATCATTATATGAGTTATGAAGTTATATTTACATTTTGTGAATGAAGTCAAAATAAGCACAAGACTGATATCTGTTATTTTTTATAATTATAAACATGGAACTATTATTTTGATTTGCATTATTTAAATCTTTTATTAATTATTGATGCTGTACGTGAAAAAAATTCTAAAAAAGTAGTTAAAAATTTCCTTGGAACTATACAATTTGTACACAGTTATATAGAAAGCAGTCCAATAAGATACTCAAAATTATAAAAAGAGAATCAGAAATTACTCTCCTATCATTAAAGTAATGTTCAATTACACGATGGGCATGTGGTTCGGAAGCTGTAAAAGTTATTAAAAATAACTATAGTGTCTTAATTACTGAAATTAACGAAGTATGTCAAAACACTTCAAAACCTGAGATAAGAGCAAAAAGGATTAGTATTTTACTACAACTTCAAAAATTTGAATTTATTTTCGGAATGGAATTAATGAGTCCTATTTTAAATATAATTTTAAAAGTTAGTACTATGCTGATGTCTAAAAAATTAACCTTTTGTTTGCTTTTGTTTGTAGCAGAAAGTGTAAATATCCTATTAAACATGATAAATAATGAAGAAGAATACAAAATTACATTTCTTTTTAATTTGTGCGATCAGGGTCGTAGTTATGGGGAGGATTTAAGAGGTTCAAAACCTCTCTCCCTTAACAAAGTATAAAATGTAAAAATGTCATTATGTTCTAAAATTTAAAATGTTTATTTTTTAAATCTTTTTTTTTTTAACTTGATTAAAACTTAAGAGGACGCTACACCCGCATACGTTGTCTCCGTCTTACAAGTGCGTAACATAGCAAATTTTATGCTCAGCAGATCCAGTCAATTTACTCTAAATTTTAAACTAACGGAGCTAAACGTGATCTGCTGAGCATAAAATTTGTTATGTTACACACTTGTAAGACGGAGACAACATATGCGGGTGTAGCGTCCTCTTAATATAATATTTTAGTAAATGTATAGTATAGTATCTGTAGTGCATTGTGATAATTGATAAGAGTTTAAATACTAAAACAAAATATAGAGACAAATTTATTTCAATCATTGAATGCATTTTAGTATGTGGTTACTAGGAAATTTCTTTTAAGAGGCAGTATGAAAAAAGTATGGACCCTTCCCATAGAAAATTCTTAGCTACAGCCCTATGTGCAATACATAAAATTTCTATTACAGAAGTGAAAAAAGAAAAGTTAGTTAACAATGATTTGTCTCTTTCAAATCAAGTAATTTTTGACACTAAAAACGAAGAATTAAAAGTTTCTATTAACAAGATACAATTGGCCTTATAAATTATGTTGCAAATACTCTAAATTTAAATATAATTACTAAAATATCTGCCATTTTGGAAAAATTTGCAAAAATGTTTTCAGACACTTTGATTACTGAAATCAAACTTCTCAAGAACTCAACAGACAACAATAATCCTTATAGAACTAATAATGAATTTGTGTTTTTGTGGCTGGATTAGTTAAAAGACTTTAGTAGATATAATACTTTTAGTTGTTTTTTTTTAAATACTACAGATATTGCATTGGTATATTGCAGGTACAGCATTGTACCCGTTCATGTGAATAGGTTTATCAAAATTAAATATTGTGAAATGTAAATTAAGAAGTACCATGACCCAAAACCGTTTGGAATCATTAATTTTACTTTTCAAAGAACATGAAAAAGCATTGAATATTGAAGTAGATTTAATTATTAATGATTTAATTTATGTATTCAAATGTTAAATAAATAATTTAAGTAATGTTTATTTGTACATTAAAATTTATTAAAATGTATTTTATGCACATGTC